CCCTGCCATGGGCAGGGACACTTTATGCTACCCCAGGTTGCTCCAAGCCCTGTCCAGCCTGGCCTTGGACATGTTGAATCAGCTCCTGGAGAGGTTTGACAAGTAGGAGACAAAATGAGGTGACAGGGATGGAGAGAATGGGGATGGTCTCTTCTGCAGGCCACCATTCAGGATAACATCCTTCTAGGAAATTCCTATGTTTCCAAGTTCTCCTGTTCATCCCAGGCTTCTACTGACACTGGGCTCTCGCAGGGGGATGTTTGAGGGTGGCCTTGCTCTTGTCACCTGCAGCCAGGGCTCCCCTTGCTCTACAACACCCTCAGAGTGCAGGGTGGTGCCGTCCCTCCTGTCCTCATCCCAATTTGGGGCTGTCAGCGGGACCCCGCGAGGTGCCAAGGACCCAGAAGGCAACTTGGATCCCTCAGCAAACAGGACAGAGAGGGTTTTCCAAGAGCAATGGACACCAGCACCTCGTTGTGGAGCTCCCAGAAGCCCCTTGAGACCTGGCTGAAGGTGGGATAGCCAAGGCAGGGTGGCACCTTGGTACCCACTTCCAGGTGTTCCCGGTGCAAAGGGAACCCACAGTAATTACCAGTAGCCAAAAAAATTTATATTTTCAAGGAATATGAACATGTATCCATCATCCTCCTTGGACAAACCCCACGCTCCTCTTTTTGCTGATGAATCCCCATTCCTCTCTCCCTGGAGGATTTGGTGGGATCCAGCTTGGAAAGGGGCAAATCAGCCCCTCGAGGAGCCACACGATTCGAGGACATTCCTAATTGCCTATTACTGGTTTATGGATTATTTTTTACTATTACTATGAATTATTATTTATTATCACTATTGATTATTATTTATTATTGCTATGGATTATCGCAGCAGAAACGGCTGCAAAAATACGACACAACGCCAAAAGCTAAATTCAGTGTTCAGAATCCCTTTTTTAAGCGAATTTTTATTGTTTTAAGAATAAAAGATACGAGCTCATGATTTCAACCTCCTCGGGTTGGCGGTGCTGGGCGTGTTATCCTAATGACCGCCAGGAGCCCCTGGATCCATCTTCTCCCGGATAGGATGCTCCCGGATCCAGGAGCCGCGGGAGGACTCACCCCGCGGGATTAGAGATGCACCAAATCCCCGTCACGTTTTCGCGTGTGCTCGCTGTGGGTTTTTTGGGGGAAGTTTCCGCCCCCGCTGGGACGGTTTTGCGGCTGGAAGAAGGGATGGAAATGGAGCCGGGCTCTCCCCAGCGACGGAGAGGCGAGGTGCGAAATTTCTCATGGGCGAACAAGGGAGAGCCGCGGGGTGCCCAGAGAAGGGGGGACAGAAAAGATGAAGGGGGCAGCGACGAGGAGGAGGAGGAGGAGGGAAAGCAGCAGCCAGGGAGGAACAAAAATCCCTAAAGCACCAACCTGGCTTGAAGAGCGGCGCGTTTTCTATGGGGGGATTGTAAAATGCGCTCTCTCTTTCCCCTTGGCAGGGGGGAAAAGGGCCCCCCCTCTATCTGATAGTCATTAGCATCAATTAGCCCCGTTTGAAGTGGGCAACATCTTTGTCTCTTCGCGAAAAAAAGAAATAAAAAAACCTTTCAGGGAGCCCATAATAACATCTGGAGCGAGGGGAGGCTGAACTCAAGTTCCCCACTTTCATCTCTTGTCGAGGGACTTGGAATGTTAATGCAGCCTCATTCTTTAATGGAGTTATCAGGAAATGCTTTTCACCTCCTTCCCTTTGCTCAGGGGGGATGTTTACAAAGGGCTGGGGGCTTTTTTGGGGGGCTTTTTGGGTTGTTGTTTTGTTGTTGGGATTTTTTTTTTTTTTTACCCCTTCCCTAAGAAACTCCCCCCCCTGCCCACCGCCTTCCCCTTTTATTTTCTACGCGCTCGAAAACCAAAACTGGAATAAAATAAAATTAAGGGAATACAGTGAATGAAAAAAAAATAAAATAAAATTGAATAATTAAAATAAAATAACCGTCACTTAAAAAAAAAAAAAAGGATCAGATCTCATCCTTTCATCTCTTTCATCTCTCCACCTCGGAGGGGCTGGATCTGGTGTGGGTGGTGGTGGGGGGTGTCTGCTACTGGGTGCTACATTTCCCAAGTCATTACCAGCGAGTGAAAATTTCCAGCTTTCCAACCAAAATGCATTAGCTGAGCACACAGTACTAATGGGAAACAGGACGCGTCATTAGGCAGCGGATTTGGCCGAGCGGGAGAAGGCGGCGAAAGGGAAAAGTCAGCCCGTGGGGTTTTTTGCTGCTTGTCCATCCCGGCGGCTCCCCCTCCATCCATCCTGGATCATCATCCCACAGCTCTCCCACGCCAACAGCCGGAACGTGGATCCGCTCCTTTAATAACCGGAGCAGCTCCGACATCACTTCTCCTGGGAATCACAGTCGCTGCTTATTATAACTTATTTAACAACCTTTTAATAAAACAACCCAAACCCTCGTCTAATGACACCCATATTCAATCCCACACTCCCCCCGGGAGCTGTGAATTTCCACGGATTTTCTTTTTTTCTCCCCGGTGGCTCTTTTTTTTTGTTTTTTGGGGAGAGGCTTCGGCACTTGCCCAGCTTTGAACGTGTGATTCCAATTAAGGCCGCGGTTCCACGGCGGCGGGATCGGGGCTGCCTGTTTGGATAAGGAGCAATAAAGCAGCAGCTGTATTTATCCACTTATTTGGAAGCTCCTGTGGAAGACAGGATGCTAAAAGGCAGGGGGGAAAAAAAGAAAAGTGTTTTAAAGGCAAACTTGAGGGATTCTTTTGTCTCCTGAGGATCCCGTAGCCATCACCAGGGTGCTTCCTCACAACCGGGGTAATCCTGCCCGTGCATTCCCATCTTTTCCACCTGCTTTGAAATGCTCAAAAATATAGAGATTTTAATAACAATTTGTACGGATTGGGGAGGGAAAAGAAATTTAAATGGCATAAATCCCTCTTAAAGGCAGGATTTATGGGATATGGACTGTGAGCCTGTGCATGCAGAGATGGTTAATGCTGGGTTATTAAACCACGGGGGATTTTTGCTCCGTGTTTATCAACCTGGAAGCTCCAGGATTTCTCTGTGTTTGCACATGGAGTGAATTTTCAGCGTGAACTTGGTGAGATCTGAGCAGGAACCACACCTGGGAGAGGTGCCTGTGCCATCCACAGCTCCCTGTTGGACCATGTGGATGCACTTGGGGGTGTCAAGCAGGGATGGCACCGAAACCAGTTCAATTTTCACAGCACAGTCACCTCGTGTCCTGTGAGAGCTCCTGAGGTGCTTGTCCCGTATCCCAGATATCCCCACACACTCCAGCATTCCTGGACAGGGTCTCACTGACACATTCCTCTTGGAACAGTGGCAGGATAGGCTGGCACAGCTGGTCCTGGGGTCTCTCCGTGCCTTGTGGGGTCTGTGCCCCGAGGAGTGTGGTCAGGGGATGGGGTGGGTGCTCCTGTGAGGCCTGGGGGATATCACAGGGAATTTGGGAGTGGGAGTTGGAGCAGGAGCTGTAGGTGCCCATGTGAGTGTCCATGGGGAAGGTGAGAGTCCCAGCAAGGTTCTGAGGTGGAAGGTTTGGGGCCACGAGGAAGGGAGGAGGTGGTGGAAGGAGCAAGTGTCCTGGTGGATGTCTGTCTGGAGTGGGATTGGTCCATGGAGTAGGAGAAGGTGTCCATGGGGAAGGAGCAGGTGTCAGTGTGGGGGTCCATGAGGAAGGAATTGGTGGTAGTGTTGGTGTCCGTGGGGAAGGAAGGGGTGTTGGCGTGGCGGTGTCTGCTGGGAAAGAGTTTGGGTGTTGTTTTGGATGTCCCTGAGAAAGGAGCAGGTGCTGGTGTGCAGGTCCATGAGGAAGGAACTGTTATCCACGTGGGTGTCCATGGGGAAGGAGTGGGTGTCAGTGTGAGGGTCCATGGGGAAGGAACTGTTATCCACGTGGGTGTCCATGGGAAAGGAGCACAGGTGCTTGTGGGGGAAGACACAGGTGTCCAGGTGGGTGACAGCAGAGGTGACAGCAGGGAAAGAGGGATTTCCATGGGGGTGTCAGTGTGGAAGGAGGGGCTGGCAGGGAAGCAGGGGGGTGTCTGTGGAGGTGTTGGCATGGAATCTGGGGTGTCCATGGGGCTGCCAGTGGGGAAGGAGGAGTGTTCCTGGAGGAACTTGGTGGAAGGGGGGGTGTTGGTAGGGAAGGAGAGGTGTCCCTAAGGGTGTTGGTGTGGAAGGAGGGGTGTCCCTGAGAATGTTGATGTGAAAGGAGGGGTGTCCATGGAGATGTTGTTGGGGAAGAAGGGATGACTGTGGGGATGTCAGTGGGGAAGGAGGGGTGTCCATGGAGGAGCCTGAAGGTAAAGAGGAGTGTTGGTGGGGAAACAGAGGTGTCTATGGGGGTATCCATGGAGGTGTTGTGGGCTAGAAGGGGTGTCTGTGGGAAGAAGGGGTGTCTGTGGGGGTGTCAGTGGGGAAGGAGGGGGGTCCATGGAGGAACTTGAGTGTAAAAAGGGGTGTTGTGGGTAAGGAGGGGTCTCCGTGATGGTGTTGGTGTGGAAGGAGAGGTGTCCCTGAGGATGCTGATGTGAAAGGAGGGGTGTCCAAGGAGGTGTTGGTGGGGAAGAAGGGATGACTGTGGGCATTTCAGTGGGGAAGGAGGGGTGTCCATGGGGGAACTTGAGTGTAAAGAGGGGTGTTGGTGGGTTAGAAAAGGTGTCTGTGGGGAAGAAGGGGTGCCCTTGTGGAGGTCGAAAGGGAAGGAGGGGTGACCGTGTGGAAGCTGGGGTGTCCTTGGGGATATCGATGAGGAAGCAGGGATGTCGGTAGGGAAGCAGAGGTGTCCATGTGGATGTCAGTAGGGAAGCAGGGGTGTCAGTGGAGGTGCCGCTGGAGGCCAGGGGGGTGTGGGCAGCGCCCTCCGCCTCCCCGCCGCCACTTTGCATAGGAGCGCGGCTCGTCCCGGCCCCCCCGCCCTCCATAAAAGCCGGCGGGGCGGCGACGGCCGCATCGGCCCGGCCATGCTGCAGAGCCCGCCGCGCCCCCGGCCCGGCCCGCCGCCCTCCAAGACCTCCTTCCACATCGAAGCCCTCCTCGCCCGGGACCCGCCGCGCCGCAGCCCCGCCGCCTCCATCCCATCCATCCCGTCCATCACCTCCATCCCGTCCATCCCGCCGCCCCCGCGCTGGCCCGCGGCGGGACCCGCTCCGGGAGCGGGAGCGGGAGCAGGAGCCGGCCCGGGAGCGGGGCTGGGGCCGCTGCCCGGCGGGTGGGGCTGGGGCTGGGGCTGGGGAGGTTCAGGTGAGCGCGGGGGTCCCGGCCGGGGCGGTGGGTGCGTGTTGGGGATGCGGAGCGGGGATGCTGGAACGGGAACGCGGGGACACCTTCCCGCCGGACTCTCGGCTGGCACTGGGAAATAACTTGGGTCACCCCAAATCGCTTTATTCCCCTCACTGCTGTTGTATTTTAGTTCCCTGCAGCCTCTGGACCAGCCCCGAGGTGAAGCGTTGGGCTGGGGCTGTGGGACGTGGAGGAGGGAGAGGGAAAACTTTCCTTAGAGTTATTTTCCCCCGCTGTAAGAGGTGGATATAGCGAGAGCAAAAAATGAACTTTTTAATCTGTTGGGGATTTTTTTTATGCCGCAGGGCAATTTCTAACACGCTTGATTTCTCTTGATAAAGAGCCTTTGGTTAACCCCTAAAAGACGCTACAGGATTTTACTAATCCATCTACCAGCCCCGAGTCGGAAACTCGTGCAGAATATCCAAATGCACTGTTTACATTTGAAATGGAGACATAAACTTGGCAGAATTTGAATAATAAATATAAAGTGACAGAGCTAAAAAGAGTATTCCAGCACCTGGTCTAGTGGAAGGAGTCCCTGCCCATGGCAGGGGCTTGGAAGTGGATGATCCTTAAGGTCCCTTCCAACCCAAACCAGTCTGTGGTTCTGTGATATTTCGATTTATCCCCAAGATTAAATGTTCGGGCCCAGTGAGACCCCAGTGACACCATTTACATCCCTCAGGCTTGAAAGATTTCAGGTTGGAAACGGTCCCCCCAGGGCCACGTGTGTCCTCACCTGTATTTTACAAGTGGCTTTTATTTATCTTTTCACACTGGCTTTTATTTCTTTTTTCATATATCAGAAGGGCACTTCACTGCCTTTGTCTTCATCACACCTCCAAAAAACTGCTTTAATTTCCCAAAGCCTCACCCCCAAAATTCATTTCTCCATCTCTTCTTCTCCCAAAATTTGCCCTCATTCTTCCCTTACTTTGCTTTCCCTTCAATTTTTCACTCACAGAAGTGAAAATGTAGAGTGTCTGGGAGCACCTGGCCCTAAAAGTTCATATTTCACTGCAAAAGCATCTAAGGATGTCGGTAAAATTTACACAGTGGTGATGGGTGATACTGACTGATCCATCAAGCTCTATTTTCAGGGTAACTTTATAAACAAACTGACTAATTTATTTTAACAAAATACCTCTATTCAGAATATTTTTCATGAAATTAAGTATTTTTTTTTAACATTCAGAGTGTAATCTTGTTGTTGTCCAGGCAAAACCTGCAGCCAGGCCTGTATTTTCTGTGTACAGGGAACTCTTGATTTTGGTCCTGATTTTAAAATATTTAGACACCACAAATATTTTTAATCTTTTTTTTTTTAATGCATTTAACATAACTATTTAATATATTATTTCTTTCACGAGGCAGCATCTGCACAATTGCATTAATCTCTGTATTATATCAAACACACAGGTATGAAAACACAGTTAAACAATTGGCAAAGCTATTTCCACACAGCATTTCAAGTTGGAAATTACACTTGCTATTATCCCAGTATGAAAATAGAGGGGAAGAAAAAAAAAGAAGTGACGGGTGAAATGATTTTAATGATGAAAATAGTTTTAAGTGCAATTACAGCTGTTAAGCTGTCAGGTCTCCATCCCACAAATCCTTAAACACACGCAGAACTTACACCTAATTAATGGAAATAAGTAGGTCAAGGTGCTGGTTTGTGCCTGGAGAATGTGACAACATCAGTCATTAAAGGAGAGATAAGTAGCAGGGTGTGAATTGGGATCATTATGTGTGCAGCATTTCCATAAAAGTTGAAGAAACTTGGCTTGCCACAATATTTGGAACAGCAGTGATGGGGGGAGCATTAATGGCCTGATCCTGCCAATTGCTTTCCACGTGGAAATTCCCCTTGGTTGTTACTCGTGGGTTATTTTAAACTTATTCCAGTGGAATCACCTGGGCAGGCAGGTCATGGGATCACGGAACGGTTCGGGTTGGAAGGGATTTTAAAGGATCAACCCCTCTGCAGTGAGCAGGGACCTCAACTGGATCAGGATGAGGGAATTAGAAAGGAGAGAAGCCACCAGCTCTCAGTCAGGTGCCAGCTGGTCCCCTGGTGTTGTATTGTATGTTAATTTATGGTAATTATAATTATCCTGAGGCAACTGCTAGACAGGAGACAAGAGACCAGACCCACTAATTCCTCTGCACACTGGGAACTTTACTGGGACCAGGGGAGCAGGATGTGGTCCTGCATGAGAGCTGGTTCCTGGACACTGACTCCCTGTGCCAAGGGAAGGGTAAAATCAGGGCCCAGTCTGGAGTAAAATCCCCCAAACTTTAGATATTCGTGGCTTGGGCCTTCTTGAGACAGAGATGGGATTTTTGTGTTCTGCAGCTCTTGATGGACTTTACTATTCTGTTACAAAAATCTTGGGTGGGTGGAGGCCAAATCCTGCTCCCCTCATTGAGAGTTGATTTTTTTGGGTCTGGCTGCATGTCCAGGTGGTACTTGAGAGTAAAATCACAGGTCCCCAAAAGATCATCTGCTCCAGCCTTTCCTGGGAAAGGGACCCTAGATGAGATTATCTGGGCTGGGACAGGGCAGGGACATCCCTGCTTTTTTTGGTGCTATTTTCTCCCGGCTCTTGTGATGAAAACCCCTTCAATTTTCGCTGCTTTCTCGCAGGTCTGGAGTTGTCTCACTGTGTCGGGACCAACTCTCTGGGTCCTGTTGGGCCTTGGAGGTCGGGGGGGCCCTGCAAGATGAAGAGGGTCCGCACTGTCTTCAAACCAGAGCAGCTGGAGCGGCTGGAGCAGGAATTCCTCAAGCAGCAGTACATGGTGGGCACGGAGCGAGTGGACCTGGCTGCGACTCTGCACCTCACGGAGACTCAGGTAAGGAATGGGTGGCACCAATCCTGGGTCTGCTCTGGGCTGGTTTTCCCACTGGGAAGTGCAGCGGGAGGAGGACACGATGCAAAGTGACCCGTGGGACTCCCTGCTGCAAGATGGCGTGGAAGGGATGTGCCTGGAGAGATGGGTTTGGATGGTTTATGGATGAGATTTCTTAATCCATGAAGTGGAACAAAAAGCATTCAGGAGCACAAACCTGCTATGCTTTAGAGTTGGAGCTGGGTTGGACTCATGGATCCGTGTTCTTTAGGTCCTCTGGGGACAGTTTGTGCTTCGAGTGTCCTTTTATTTATTATTGCTATTTTCCTGCTCTTCCCAATAAGTTCCTGCCCTTCCCAAAGCAAGCTGCTTGTTTATTGTGGAAAGAAGGAGGCAGGTGATCTTCCATGGTGGGGTCTAAATTCAGTTTGGAAAAAGGAGAGCAAAGCCAGGGTGATTCTGGGGGCACAGGGGATGTTTTGGGGTCTCACCATGCTCTCTGGCAGCTGCAGTCCTGGGAATGGGTTCAGTGCCTCCTTAGGGAGCTGCTTCCTTCACTCTCCTGGCCAGAGGTTCTTGTTACGACCTGTTCCAGGAAAAGGGGAGGGGGGTAACCCAGGTTTTCATCAATAATTCCCTGGGGGTGGATTAGAGTGAAACAACACTGAATAATTGGTGTCTGAAAACTTATATAGTGTAGGGTTTATTTTAACAATTTTGTTTTAACATGTATGTTAGCATTTTGGGTGTTGTCATCTATATATTATCTATCATAGGGGTAACCCCTGGGGGGAAAATGTATAAGGGAGAGAAAGGAAAGACAGGATAAGGCTAAGGGAGAGTAAGGGAAAGAAAAGCTGAGAGTGGACAGATGTATATAGTCACCACCCACGGGGTCCAGAGATGAAACTTGGCAGAGGGGGGGAATGGGCTTTGATGGCTCTTCCTGGCTTGACACCTTCAGCACTGGAGGGAGGGACGGGCCCAACTGCCCATCTGAGGTATAATGCAAAAGTCAAAAGCCTGCAAAAGTCTCCTAGAATGCATAAATCATTAACCATTTCAGTCTCTGACAGTTCCTCAGTGCAGCTGCATCCCCATCTCTCCTGATCCTATTCCTAGCACCGCTCTGCCCTCCACAGTGTCACCTCCTCCTGCTCTCATTCACTACTCCCTGAGCAGAGAAAGGGCATGTCCCCATTTTTAAGGAACTCTTTTTGGGGACATCTTCCTTGGAAGCATGTGGCATTGGAAACGTGCTCCTGGAGACCTCGGATTAAGCTCTTCCATGTCCCTGCCAGGTGAAAGTGTGGTTCCAGAACCGGAGGATCAAGTGGAGGAAGCAGAGCATGGAGCAGAAGGCGGCAAAGCTGTCCCAGTTTGGGGTGATCCAGCCCGCGACCGCCGACTCCACGGACATCAAGGACCACGAGGAGGACACCGTGGACGTGGAGCTTTGAGCAGCTGAGACTGAGCTGCCACTGCTGCTTTTTGATGCCTGGGGACGTGTCTGTGCTGCTTTGGTCCAAGAGAGACATTACTTTCTCAATTGGAGAGCTGGAGCTACAGGACTAAAATGCAGCTGGTGGAGAGGAACCCACCCCAAATTTATTTGGCTGCTCTTTGGTAGCCACGTGCTGTAATTCCTGGGGCTTCTTCACCAGGCTGGTTGTGCTTGATGGGAGGTGATCTCCTGTTTGCTCTTGGAGCACCAGGACACAGTTTCAAGCAGAGAGTGACAATCAGAGGGTGTCTCTGGTGGTTGGGTGACAATCAGTGTCTCTGATGCTGGGGGTGACAGTTCTCCCTGATGGCTTTTCCTGGTTAACTTGACTCCCCTGTTTGATGCTTAGATCATAACCAAAACCACCCCAAAATTGGAAAGCCCTTTGCTTCCACCCACAACGCTCCTGCTATAAGATGATCAGGGTCTTTCCAGGGTCTTTCTACCCCTGGAACAGAAGTGCCTCCTCTTGGCAGTGCCTTGGTGTACCTGTGCCTTTTTTTTTTTTGGCTTCCCAAACCTGGAAGGAGAACCCAGTGGTCTCTCTGTCTCCTGGCATTGCCTTCCTTGGCCAAGGTGTCTGTGTGCTGCAGGGAATGAGGCACTGGAGCCCTGGCCAAGGTGTGGGGACGGGGGCTGCTGTAAAAAGCAGCTTTCCAACACCTCTGGTGCCTCAGACGACCCCCTGCCCCTGGTCCAGATGTGCTGATTCTGCCCAGACGGCAACTGCTCTGTTCTCTCCTCATTATCCACCCAGGTGCCATGGGAAACAGCACCTGGAGCGTTCGGGGAGCACATCTGTAAGGGCCCGATGTAGTTAACAGCTGGATTTCTGGTGGCTGGGAGGGCTTGGAGGGGTCAGGACTAACGTCTGCCCAGGGTACCAACCACGTCCAGTCAGCTCAGGATAATTTATTCCTTCTCTTTCTGTCCCAGAACACTGTATATCACTTTACTCTTCTATTGTTATTTATAAAAGTGGGTTTTTTTTCTTTCCTTAATAAGTGCCATTTATTTATTTGCTTTGTCTCTTAATAAAAATCGAGCGTGTTTTATAAAGAGAGATGGAAGGGGTGTCGAAAAACACATTTCCAACTACTCACTTTAATTTTCAATTGAAATTGTTACCAAAAAAGTTAAACCCAATGTTATTCTCATCCTTCTCAAAAATGTTTGAGGGTTTTTTTCCTTAATAAAATGTTTTGAACAAAATATGTGGTAAAGAATTTTTCCTATAATTGGTTGATGACCCCATATTGTGGGTGAAAGTAATTAACATATGTTATTATCTCTGGGCTGGTTCCTGCAGACATAAAACTACATTTGCAGGAGGAAAGGTAGTGTCTGGTGAGCATGGGGTGCTCAGGTTGGAGCTGTGGCTCCTGGAGAACAAGGACCTGTGTCAGCAGGTGGATGTGGCCAAACCTTCTCTGCCGAGGGGCTGGAGCATGTTCAGAGAAGGGCAGTGGAGCTGGAAAAATGGTCTGGAGAACAAGGAGCAGCTGAGGGAGCTGGAGGAGCTCAGCCTGGAGAAAAGGAGGCTCAGGAGAGACCTCACTCTACAATTCCCTGACAGGAGCAGGGAGCCAGGTGGGGGTCAGGCTCTGCTCCCAGGGATCAAGGGACAGGACGAGTAATCACAGAATTATTTAGGTTGGAAAAGACCTCCAAGATCATCTAGTCCAACCTGTGACTGGTCCTTGTCAACTAGACCAGAGCACTGAGAGCCACATCCAGTCATTCCTTGAACACTTCCACGATGGTGACTCCAGCACATTCCTGGGCAGCCCCTTCCAATGCCTGACAATCCTTTCCATGAATAAATCACTGAGGAAACAGTCTCAGGTTGTGCTAGGAGAGGTTTAGATTGGATATTAAGGAAAATTCCTTCATGGAAAGGGGTTGTCCAGCCCTGGCACAGCTGCCCAGGGAGGTGGTGGAGTCCCCATCCCTGGAGGGATTTAAAATCCCTGTGGATGTGGCACTTGGGGACATGGGTCGTGTCCCCACCACGAGCCGACAGTGACATCTAGTGACACCAAAACACTCCAAAAAGCCCCGAGTATGGAATCATCCCAAATTCCCAACCCGGCTCCCGCCACCTGGTCCTGGAGGAGCGGGGCAAAGCCTGAGCGATGTGAATTAGGAAATACAACGAAAACCGCGGTTTTGTGGATTTTAGGCTTTGCAGACCAACAAGCAGAAGGCAGCAGGGGGAGAATGGCCACTTTAGCATGTTTTGAAGGGGTTTTTTTTGGGAAATGGCGCCAATTTTGGGTGCGCAGGGCAGTGGGCGATTCCTCCTCTCCCTATGAGGGGGCACCACTTCCTGCGACGGGGGACCTTGTGTTCCTGCCTGATAGGGCTGGGATGGCTATTCCTCTGCCATTAAATAATGATAATAATTAATAGAGGCGGCATTAAAGGTTTTTTTGGGAAAGTCTGGTCAGTTTTGGGCGCGCAGGGCAGCGGGAGATTCCTTCTAGCCCTGCCAGAGGGCACCTCCTCCTGCGAGGGAGCACCTTGCGTCCCCACCTGAGAGAGCTACGACGGCTATTCCTCTACCATTAAATAATAACAATTAATAAGGGAGAGGCAGCAAAACTCTTTTACGATTTGGGGTGGCTGTGGAAGCGCCCCAGCGGCGTTTCGGAGTGTTTTGGCGGTGTTTTCGGAGCGTGGCTGTGGGCTGAGTGAAGGGGGGGGGCTAAGATGGCCGCCGGCCCCCGCCCGCCCCGGGGCTGAGGGGGCGATGGCGGGCGCGGACCCCTGAGGGGCGGAGGAGGAGAAGGAGGAGGAAGAGGAGGAGGAGGAAGAAGAGGAGGAAGAGGAAGAGGCGCTGCCCGGCGGGTTAGGGCGGGGAAGTCGCCGCCCGAAGATGGCGGCCGCGGCGGGGGGACACGCCGGGGCTGCGGCGGAGGCGCGGTTCATCAGCAGCGCCAAGGTGAGTCTCCGCTCCGTGGGGATCCCCTCCTTCCTTCCCAGTTTTAGAGGGGAAAGGGGGTAGAAGCCCACAGGGTCCCCTCGGGATGGCGGGGTACCCTCAGCCCCCGGGTATGACTCGGCTCCGGGCGCGTCCCTTGACCCACGGCTGTGCCTCGGCAGGGAAAGGGCTTGTTCGCCACCAAGAACATCCGCAAAGGGGAAACAGTCTTCGTGGAGAGGCCGGTGGTGTCTTCCCAGTTCCTCTGGAATGCCCTGTACAACTACCGAGGTGAGCGGCTGGTGCTGGTGCCGTGTCCCTGTCACCTGCCCCAGTGCCCGCGGGATCCCAAAGGAGCTGCCCGGTATCAAGGGAAAGGTTTGGGTTTGCCTTCGCAACGCTGTAAAGGTGCCCCTGCTGCCGTTTCTGCCTCTGCACTAAAGCGTTGGCAAGTTGAGGTGTCGTTTGAGGGATGGTGACTTCCATCAGCTCCGGGGGGATGCGCCAGGTGCCACTATGGAATCCCAGAATGGTTTGGGTTGGAAGGGACCTTAAGGATCCACTCATTCTACCACCCTACCATGGGCAGGGACACTTTCCACTAGCCCAGTTTGCTCCAGGCTCCATCACCTTGTTCATCTCTGGTGGTGGTACCAGTTGCACCATCTCGGGGCTCTGGTCCATTTCCTTCCCGAAGGCTTTCCTGTGCCATCCATCCATCCATCCCTCCATCCATCCTTCTTCTCCCCTGCAGCCTGTGATCATTGCCTGCGGGCTCTGGAGACGGCGGAGGAGAACGCCCAGCGCCTGCTGGGGAAGAGCTCGCTGGTGCTGCCTCACCCGGAGCAGTGCAGCATCCGGAAAGACCTGCACCAGCAGTGCCCCCGATGCCAGGTACGGGACTGCCGGGAGGGAACACCATCTTTTTGGGATTGCCAGATCCCAGATGGCACAGCTGGATGTAGGATCCTGTTTTCCTGCTGCCAGAGCCAATGCCGGGCGCTGTCCCCCCGCTCTAGGTGACGTACTGCAGCGCGGAGTGTAGGCAGGCAGCTCTGGAGCAGTACCACCAGGTCCTCTGCCTCGGCCCGTCCCGAGACGACCCCACACACCCCCTCAACAAGCTGCAGGAGGCGTGGAGGTAGGGCACCGACCTGCCTGTTGCTCCACGGGCAAAGGAGATGGTTCTCCTTGCTTTGCATCCCTGCATGGGGTGGCTGGAGGGTGGGAATGCCCGTGGGACGCTGCCTGGCTCTCCCTGCTGGTTGGGTGAGTTGGTGTGGGCAGTGCACATGGCTGAGTAGTCCTTGTTTTTCTCCCTGTAAAGAGCTACAAAGTTCATTCCTGCAATTTTATAGTGCTCCTGCAGCCTCTGGGGATCTTCCTCATGGGTTGATAAATTGCTGTCCCTGCTTGCAAAAAAAAAACGGTCCCAGAGGGGAGAAGTGACATCCCTGACCCAAATCTTATCCCAAACCCCAGCTGGGCCTTGTGTGGAACCCAGGGTGAACCAGGATGGGAGGGGATTGTTCGTATGGTTGGAGCAGGAAGGTGGATGCAGGTTTCTCTGCTGGATCCCCACACAGTGTTGCTGCAATGGCCACTTTGGTGTGATGGATTAGCGCAGGCCTGACCACACGAATGGCAGCTGCCTCTACCTCCCTCCAGCTTTTTATTTCCATACAAGCCCTGCTCTGCTCATCTCTTCTTCATTCTTATCCCACAGGAACATGCATTATCCCCCAGAGACTTCCAGCATTATGTTGATGGCCAGGATGGTTGCCACCATCAAGCAGGTACGTCAGCAGTTTGGAGCTCCAGCTGCCCGTGTGTGGTTTCGTTATCCCATTGTGGATGTTATTCCCAAGGCTCTGGTTCTTTGGCCTGGCTTTCTCAGTGTTTTTTCTGACAATCCTCCCTCCCTCTGGGCTGGGGAGGAAAGCAGGGTTGGTGCAATGCCTCTGCTTGATTCCATTGCCAGGCTAAAGACAAGGAGTGGTGGATCAAGGCCTTCTCCCAGTTCTGCAGCAAGACAGCAAATGAAGAAGAGGAGATTGTGCACAAGCTGCTGGGGGACAAATTTAAGGTAAGACCCTGGCAGCTCTTGAATTCCCAAGCCTGCCCTCTCCCACCTGGGTCTGTGAGCCCAGAGGTGCAGAAGCCCTGTTACAGCTGGGATGGGAGGCACTGGAAATTCCAGGCTTAAAGTGGGGGCCCTGACAGCCAGGAAGTGAGTTGCTCAGAGGGCTTTGGGCTGGTGGTGCTTCCATGGGATGTGCTGCTCCTTCCTATGGGGGAGATGCTTTGCTGTGGGCTGGGCCAGGGTGATATTTAGCTGCTGAGTAGGTGGCTTTTGCTGCTAAAATGAGTGGCTTTTGCTGCTGTGAGGGCAGCAGCCTCCAGCCCTGCAGGGAAGGATGAGGAGCCTGACTCCTTCCTGAGCCTCGTGGCCTGTGCTGGGCCGGGCCCTCAGCCTGGGGCTGGCACCCAGTGACAGTGACATCTCCCCACCCTGACTGTGCTCCTTGTCCTGCCAGGGCCAGCTGGAGCTGCTGCGGTTGCTCTTCACCGAAGCCCTTTATGACGAGTATCTCAGCAGGGTGAGTGGGTCTGCCTCCCAAACAGCCCATGGGAATCTGCCCATTCATTCCTTGCTTCCCCCAAAGCTCCCTGTGGGATTTGAGGCACTGCAGAGCGGGGTGCTGCCACAGGCTGGCCTGGACTCAGTTCCTTTCTCCTGTCCCTCCTGCAGTGGTTCACTCCAGAAGGCTTTCGATCCCTCTTTGCCCTCGTTGGGACCAATGGCCAAGGCATAGGAACCAGGTAAAGGGGCTTTGTGGAACCAGGTAATGGGTGTTCCTTGCAGGGCAGCAGAGATGTAGAATGTAAATCCATGCTCTCCTGAGTAAGGCTGGGTTTAAGAGAGGGGAATGGAGGGGAAGAGAAGGTGCCTCTCCTACCTTGGCTGCTCAGAGCCACCTTGGATCCCCTCTGTGAGATCCCACCGTGTGCTGATAACACTGTGGGACCATGATAGGTCCTGCTGCTTCCTGACAACACAGTGAGACTGTAGCAGTGTCCCTATGCTTCCTGACAGCCCTGTGGGACTGTAACAGTGTCCTTCTGCTTCCTGATACCACTGTGGGACTGTAACAGTGTCCCTGTGCTTCCTGACACCACTGTGGGACTGTAACAGTGTCCCCGTGTTTCCTGACACCACTGTGGGTCTGTAACAGTGTCCCTGTGCTTCCTGACAGCACTGTGGGATGTAACAGTGTCCCTGTGCTTCCTGACAGCACCATGAGACTGTAACAGTGTCCCTGTGTTTCCTGACAGCACTGTGGGATGTAACAGTGTCCCCGTGTTTCCTGACACCACTGTGGGATGTAACAGTGTCCTTGTGCTTCCTGACAGCACTGTGGGATGTAACAGTGTCCCTCTCTTCCCCACAGCTCCCTGAGCCAGTGGGTGCACGCGTGTGACGCGCTGGATCTGCCGATGCTGCAGCGGGAGGAGCTGGACGCCTTCATTGACCAGCTCTACAAAGACATCGAGAAGGGTGAGGATCTGTGGGAATGCAGGGGCAGGACAGGGAGCCTGGGGATGCAGATTTTCCATGGGGAGGGAAGGGTGCTTGAGAAATCATCCTCACACACCCAGCCCCAAAGCTGGGGTCTTAAAACCAAGACAGTGCATTCCGTGTTGCTGCAAATCCCTCTGTGCTCCCACGTGGAAGAGCTGAAATGGTCTGTGTAAAGCTCTAACGCCACCTCTCTGTGCTGCAGAGTCTGGAGAGTTCCTCAACTGCGAGGGATCAGGGCTCTACGTGCTCCAGAGCTGCTGTAAGTAACACGAGGATTGGGAGGAAAACTAGGAGTGAGGAGGGAAATGTGCTAGGCTGGTTCACCTCTTCCTAAAAGCCTCTGGAGAAAGGGGTTTGTGCTTCCCAGCCTTGGGATGGAATGGGATGGGTGCTGCCCTGGGGCCTGGCTGCTCTCCCAGGAATGGTCAGTCCTGACTTGGATGGACTCGGATATGATGTAGTTTCCAGGAGCCACTTAAGCATTTATAGCAAAGAGACCGTCTTGCCCACAGGTAACCACAGCTGCATCCCCAATGCCGAGACATCCTTCCCAGAAAACAACTTCCTCCTGCATCTCACTGCTCTGGAGGACATCGAAGCAGGAGAGGTGAGACAGCAGGGCCTGGGTGGTGACATCACACCTTGGCATCATCCCCGTGTCCCCAACATCCCCCAACACTTCCTGTCTCCCGTGTTGTCCCGGCAGAGGAATTCGATCCTCATCGCATGTAGGGGCTGCCAGACCCCATTTCTGCCTGACTCTGAGAGGGCCTGGCACAAGTTGTGCTGCTTTGGAGTCATGGGAAGCCATCCTGAACCCAACCTGTTTCTCTTTGCTCCCAGGAAATCTGCATCAGTTACTTAGATTGCTGTCAGAGGGAGCGGAGCAGACACAGCCGCAACAAGATACTCAGGTAGGGGCTGCCTGGAGGTACCTGGGGGGGACCCCACACCCCTTTGCACCCCCAAACTGTCCATCTGGGCAGCACCCCCACCCTGGGGCCCTGTGTGGTGTGTGGCTCTGTGTGTGAATTCCACGTAAGAATTCCCTTCTTATGTGTTGTAGTCCCAGGGACTGAGGATTTGGGCTCCCCCCTCTCCCTGCACCACTCTGCAGTTTGCTCCTGCAGACCCTTTGCAGTCCCCACCACCTTCCTTTTCCTTCTCTGCCCTTCAAGGGTAGAGGTTCCTGCTGGTGGTCACTGTCCCCGTGTCCCATCACTCCTGTGGGGCTGAGGAATCCCCCTCTCCACCTGGAATACCTTCACCCCACCTGAACCAGCGGGATGGAACCCCCAAACTCCTCTAGATTTAACATATTTAGCCCCTTTCCTGGCTGCTCTGTCCTCGACCCCTGCCCAGCAGAAGTGTGGGCTTGTGCCTGTCTCAGTGCCATCCATCTTTTTCCTCCTTCCTTCCCATTTTCCCAGGGAGAACTACTTGTTTACCTGCTCGTGTCCCAAGTGCCTGGCGCAAGCCGACGACGCCGACGTGACGTCGGACGAGGAGGAGGAGGGCGAGGGAGAGACGGACGATGCCGAGCTGGAGGATGAGATGACAGACGTTTGATCCTGGCAAGAGGACAGGGAAGGGAAGGGACGGGAAGGGACTGGGGGTTCCTCCCAGAGGCAGCAGCTTTAGTCCAAGGAACAGGGTTTTGTTGTGGGGTCATGTGGGCGGCCGTGCGGAGGTGCTGGAGTGGGACAGCCGGAGCCAAGTCCTGCTCCCGCCTGTCCGTGTTGTCCCTGTGTGTGTGTGTGAGGCTGTCCCCGTCCCAAGCTGTGAGCTGGTGTCCCTCTGCCACCTCCCGCTTCCCGGAGGGGCTGGCTGGTGCTTGCAGAGGAAGCTGGAAGAGAGCAGGATCCAGCCAGCCCCTCCTTGTGGCCACCTGCGAGGCTGCTCCGTGTCTGTGCCGGCCGTGGACTCGGAGGAGCTTGTCCTTCCCGCCCCGCAGGGATGAGGGAATGTGTGTGTGTGTGTGTTTGTGCACGAGGGGAACTATTTAATGTCTATATAAGCACTATCTACGCACTACGGAGCCAGGGTCCTTATGTATCCTCCATTCCATGCCTTGGTGAGCAGTGAGGGGATTTTGCAGGGACAGGGACACCTTAGAGGGGGGCTCAGATCCTGAGTCCAGCGGGGAGAGCAGAGCCGATCCTGCAGGCACCTCCTTCCTGACTCAGCCCGTCCTTCCAACAACACAGCCCCAAGCAGTGATTCCAGGATCATCTGGGGATGGAGAATGGCCAGAGCATCCCAGCATCCCAGAGCTGACATGTGCTGTCATCCAAACCCCCAAAGACATTGGGAGTTGTCCCTCTGTCTGGCAGCGGGACGAGGACGTGCCTGAGTGGGAGCTGCTGTGCGCTTCCCCACCCCGAATTCCCACATGGAGACATCCCAGCACCGAGTGGCCCCACATAGAGATGTCCTGGCACCGAGTGGCCCCACGTGGATGTCCCCTTGTCACCCATCCCACGCTGCCACCGACGAGGCCACCCCACGTGCTGCAGTGTCCCTGTCTGTGGACAACACGGCTCCCGGCGATGGACAGGCAGCAGGCTGGGGGTGCGCTCTGGGGTTATTCCCTCCCCTCATGGATTTTGGGGAGCTGTTTTCCCGCCGCTGTGTCTGTGGCAGCTGGCTCGTGGGACTGAGGGTGACGCACCCCTGACGCTGCCATCACCGCCAGCCCTGACCCTGCTGCTTGTCCCCAACCGTCCTGGGGCCGTGGCCCCTTCAGTGTTCGTAATAAACCGAGACTGGTGAGAACTGGGACCCTGTGGTTTGTACTGGTAAACTGGAGCGTGGTGGGTGACCCAGGGGCTGGTCCTGTGGGGACACAGGTCTGGGGATGAGGGAACAGGCACCTGTGGGAGTGTGAGCTCTGGATTTGTGACCAGGGACACACACCTTGGGGACAAGTGCTGGAGGCTCTGCCGTGGTGCTGCTTCACCCCATGTCTGGGGTCTGGCCTGAGCGCTGCCCCAGCTGCAGGAGGCACCTTGGGAATTTTACTAGGAAAAATATTAGGGGATGAGATTTATCCCTTCATCCCCTGACTGCTGAAAGAAAAAAGGAGAAACTTCCCTTTCTCTAAAACATTCAGACTTCATTAGCTCAGACAAAAATATACAGACATGGGGCGAGCCCTGCTGGTCCAGACCAAGCCTGCGTCGCTCTCCCTCCCATCCCTGCCAGTCCTGCATCCCACCAAATCAGCAGCACAAGTTCAAATGTTTCCTGGGAAGCGCTGGCCTGCTCTGGGCCATCACCTCCCTCCCACAAAGTCACAGCAAAGGGTGCTCAGTGCCAGGCTCAAGGTTCCCACCTGGCACTTGGCCGGCAGGAAGATCTCCCTGTTGCTGAATCCAGTGGGATCTCTGGAAGACGCTGGAACTCCTTCTTCAAACCTGGTGCTTAGGGGAAATTCCTGGGATCCACTGGGAAGCCCACGATCCGCCACAGCCTCCTGCTGCTACCAGAAGGTCCAGGGGGGCTGCATCATCTCGTAGGTGGGGATGCTGGTGACGTTGACGGGGATGGAGATGACGGCCCAGGGGAGCCCGTGCTGCTCCAGGGAACGCCTGATCATGTACCTGGAAGGATAAAGAGGTGACAGGTGTTCCAGAGCCGCTGGATTTGGGAGACCTGAACCCCAGCCTTGAGCATAAACCACAACCCAAACCATACAGCTCCAACTCAGCCATAAAGCTCCAACTGTGGATTAATCATGACTGAATCCACTCCAAATCTGTCCCGCAAAGCCCAGGAGGGACACGCTGATCGCTGGGACCACGTTTTGTTGGGACAAGTCATCGCTTTGCCCTTCCCAGGAGCTGTCCCACCCTTGGGGAAACGTGTCAGGGCACCCACCCGTCCCTGCCCAGCAGGAAGAGCGCAGGAATGTCGGCTGTGCGCCGGGAGCTGTCCTGCACCATCTCGATGTAGAAGCTGTCGTTGTCGTAGGCGTTGTCGGCGATGATCACGGCCCGCCCGCCGTGCTCCTGGATCACTCGGGTCTTGGACAGGAACGAGCAGCCCCTGGGGCACAGAGGGACAAAATTTCGGTGCCCCCAGGTAGGTGCAAAGCCTGGAAGTGCCAGGGCCTTGCCCAGAGACACCCAGCCCAGGGATTGTGTCTCCGATCCCGCGCCTCGCCCCAACCGCGCTCCTCCGAGTCTCTATTTTAGGCACAAGCCACCCACACTCCTAAGGAAAAGTAAAATAGAATCACAGAATCATGGAATGGTTTGGGTTGGAAGGGACTTGGAAGATTATACAGTTCCAACCCCCTGCCATGGGCACGGACACCTTCCACTGTCCCAGGTTGCTCTGAGCCCCGTCCCACTTGGCCTTGGACACTTCCAGGGATTCAGGGGCAGCCACAGCTTCTCTGGGCAACCTGTGCCAGGGCCTCCCCACCCTCCCAGAGAGGAATTTCTACCTAATATCCCATCTAAACCTCTCTCAGTATGAACCCAGATGGGTTTTTTTCCCACCATAGCACAGGCTAAAAGACACAAGATGAAGTGCTCTGGGGTAGGAACACTCTTGTGTTTTCCTTCTTTACCCACATGGAGAAGAAGCTGGAGGTGAAGGGGAGATGTGGCCATGGCACTGTGACAGTGCCATGGTGGCATCTCCTGTCCTTCCCAAGGGTCCCCCTAAAAGCCCCGTGATGCCAGACCTACCCCCTCTCCACCAAGGCGATCTGGTCCTGGATGAAGACTCCATTGTTCAGCTCTCCACAGGCCTCCGGAGGATCCGCCGGGACCAGGTGGATCTGGTCGTACCTTGTGTTCTTCGGGAGGGAAACAGGCAGGGATGAGGCATCGGAGCTGCTTCCCATTCCCAGCCCCACTCTGGCTGTCCCTGCACTGCCCAGCACTGCCAAGGCCACCACTGACCCATGTCCCCAAGTGCCACATCCACAGGGACTTTAAATCCCTCCAGGGATGGGAACTCCACCCGTGCCCTGGGCAGCTGGGCCAGGGCTGGACAGCCCTTTCCAGGAAGGAATTTTCCCAATATCCAACCTGAACCTCCCCTGGCACAACTTGAGGTCGTTTTCCCTCTTGTTATTTGGGAGCAGAGCCCAACCCCCCTTGGCTCCCCCCTCCTGTCAGGGAGTTGCAGAGCCAGAAGGTCCCCCCTGAGCCTCCTTTCCTCCAGGCTGAGCCCCCCCAGCTCCCTCAGCCACTCCTGCTGCTCCAGACCCTTCCCCAGCTCCGTTCCCTTCCCTGGACACGTTTCAACCCCTCAATGTCCCATATCCTGCTCATCTGGGGAGATTTTGAGCTTCCAGGTGCCCCATTCCAAGTCCTGCAGAGCCAGCCCAATCCCTGCCTCTGGAAGCCTGCTGAGGCCAAGGATGCTCATGGAAGAGCAATTAGCTCCGTTTTTATCAAAAATCCAAATCACTGAGTCCCACAAAGGAGAAATATTGGGATGGAGGGACCCGGGGTGACAAATTTAGTTTTAAATACTTACAAACACGCCACCAAAATCCTTGGCTGGAGTGGCAGTGAAGATGTAACGGATGTCCCCGGGACTGAGCACTTGGAAGTACAAGTATTCATGGATGCGTAGACCTGGGGGTGAATGGAGAGAGGTGAGAGGCAAGGAAAACCACAGGGAAAATCCCTGAAAAAATGGGAAAATTCTCACTTATTGCTCCTGAACCACGGGGGAGGGAACACAACTTTTGGGATGTCGGGTTTTGGGATGCTCCAAGGGGAGATATAACAGTTCCCAGGAGCTAAGAAGGGATGGAGGGGAAAGGCATTGGGATTGGGGTGGACTGGGGTGCACAAGGGGAAGAGGAAAATGCAAATGGACCATGGAGGGGATAAGGATTGAGGTAAACAGAGGGGAAGTTCACTTGGATTGGCGTGCAGGAGGGGAAATGCCGTGGAACTGGGATGCAGTGGTGGGAAATCCACCCTGATCACAGGGCACAGGGGGGAAATGCAACGGGGTCAGGATGCAGCGAAGGGATGTGCACCTGGATTGGGATTCAAGAGGGGAAACGCAACGGGCTAGGGGTGCACCGAGGGGGAATGCAGCTGGATTGGGGTGCTGGATGGGGAAAAGCAATTAGGTCGGGGTGCACCGAGGGAAATGCACCTGGACTGGGACACAGGAGGGGAGATGCACCTGAACTGGGGGGCAGGAGAGGAACTGCACCGGGATTGAGGTGCAGGAGGGGAAATGCACCCAGACCGGGATGCAGGAGAGGAAATAT